GCCCTTCCCCAGGGGGCTGACCCGACGCTTTTCGTCCTGGTGAGTCTGCAGCCACGTTACCAACAGACTGGAGCCTCTTAGCAAGGAATAATTCATTTTAAAAATGCCTCATTAGAAATGCCTGACATCATCTCTTCGGTGATCTCGTTTCTATTACCCCTGAGGTCAGTTTACTTACTGGAAAACCATGGATACAGCCAGAAACAGCTGTGGCAAGCTGGTGTCGATGCTGAACAGGCGTGGCTGTGCCAGGGGCTGGGTGCTCTGTTCCTCCCCTGGCGCCTGGGCATGTGCGCATGGGTCACCGCAGGCTACTGCTGTTTATATTTACCAAATTATTTGTTAAGGGTCGGTAACTTATTATAATCCTGTGCTGCTGCATGCTTTGGTACATCCACACTCCCATCTTGGCGCTCCTGGGCGCTTCTGATAATGGCAGGAGGGCTGCTGCGGGGTTGTTATTTGCGGGAGGGAGGGAAAAGACTGTCACTGGCAAGCCAGGGTATGCCCTTCCTCATCAAGGGGACACGTTACCTTGACCTGTTTCCATGCTAGGTGGGTGTTTTTTTGAGAAATTACAAATAAAGAGCAAGCAGAAGGCTCCAGATGACAGAATGTATAGCCTGGTTGGCAAATGTGCTAAATCCTTCTGCACCCACTCAAAGAAAATGCGAGACTGCCCTGCCTGTAGCTACAGGGGCTGGCTGTTTTTCAGAAGCTATAAAGTTTTTGCTTTTAGCCTGAATGTCTCCGGTGCGAAGCCTGCTGTCAGTGATGGTGGTGCTCCCACAGCTGGAGAGCATGAGCTTCGCTGGGCAGCAGCGCTATGCTTCTCGGCAGACCAGCGGGGGAAGTCACGAGGCTGAAACCGTCCCCTTTCCTCACCCCCAGTGGCACGTAACAGCCCCGAGCCTGGAAGAAAGCAAATGATGAGCCACGTGCCTTGAGTTTTTGTGCAGTGTTGCCAAATCCAGATGCTAAAAGGTCAGAAGATGAAATGCCATAACAGTAATAGATTTGGAGAACTTTAGACCTGCCTGGTTCCTCGCATGTGTGTAGGGTTCACGTGTTGGGGCTTCCATGGAAGCCTCAAACTGTTGTTTGTTTTAAATCAAGGATGAGTTTTCGTGTAAAGGAGGGATTTGGGGAAAGTAAGCAAATACTGTGATGCTCCTAAAGAAAAGCGCTCAGCCTTTGGGCAGCTAAAGGCAGCAAGAGCCTGGAGGAGTCTCCTCCTTTTGGCATGGGTCAGATTTGGTCTTGGCTCTTGTGCAAGGCCAGAGTGGACGGGCAGCTTAGATTGGGCTGTTGTAGATGCCTCTGCTGTGCCTGCAGGCTTATCCTGCTGGGGGCTGGCTGGGGATGAGGCCAGCAGCTCCTTCCACCCTCCCTTCCTCAGCTGGCAATTGCTGCTAGAAGATGGACTAGGGTCAGGGCTCTGCCGCTTTTGGAGGCTGGTCGGAGAAAATTGGATTACAGGCATCACCGGGAGGAGTGTGGTGTTACTCTGCTCCCACTCTGCCTGATGGACCCTGCTGCCCTGGTTAAATACCTCAAAACAGCTGGGCCAGGTCTGGGTTTGGAGGAATGTCACCTCTGAAAGGTTGACTCAGGTGCCCAAGGGAATTAGCATGGAATAAAGCATTGGGGAAGCCGAACCGAGTCTGGGCATCAGCAATGGATCAAGAGACACAAATATTGCTAAAATACTGTATGAAATGAATGTTAATGGAAGAACGGAAACATTAGTGAAGCATGCGGAGCTCGAAACATTGCTATGGCTGGTTTTAATTAGTTGGAAACTGTTCAAACTGTGCTTCTAGTGCAGTGATTGTCCTAATGGGGTTGGGATTGGGACCTAGAGCTGTTGGATTTTCCTTTCTTTTTGAGTGATAAGTACTGAAATATTCATTATACATGTGTCCTCCTGGCTTCTGGAGTGCTGTGGAGGGACATTTTTTTTGTACACAAATTTTGCAGTTGCTGTCCAGTAGTACTTATAGTAGCCCCAGTGACAGAAATGGTCCTGTCCAAAAGGTGTTTCATCTGAAATGCAACGTTTGAGGGTGCTTCACAAGGGGAAAGTAGTACCACCTTACCTGTTTCATATTTAAATTTAAAGAATACTGCAAAGCTCAAAGCATGGGTTTTTACAATGCTCTGTGAGCTCTTGTGTCCATATTTATGTACACACAGACACATAGGTGTGTCGGTGAGAAAACTCAAATTAATTTAATTATTTTAATTCCATTGGAAGGTTTTACCTCTTCAGTGGAGAATATTCCATTAATATTAACATACTTCATAATATCTGTTTTCAGAGACAAGAACATTTTTAATACCTGGTCTTGCTTCACATGAGTAGATACAGATCTACCTGTTAACTAGAGCATTGGTATCTTGAATTATAATGGCATATTTTGGGGCATAAAAAAGGTCTGTTTTCTGATTTCTTGTCTGGAAGTCTTTATCTTTGCTGTCTTATCTGTCTGATGCCTTCTGGAAACAATTTTCCCTTTATACCACTTCATAAACTTCTACATACACTAGACTGGAGGCTCTGGGCCATTTCTCACATTTTGTAATGAATTTTCTGATTGAATTATTTTACAGATAGCACCTCATACATGCAAAGCAGCGCCTAAGATCCTGGTGGATTTTTTACTGATTGTGTGTATAAAGCTCTAAGAACTTGTGACATATTCTGAAAAGCTCAGCTGCCACTGAAACTTTCACATTTATATTTTTTGAGGCATTGAATGTGAAGCTCGAGGGCAGCCTTGGCTTCAGTGACCATGAAATGGTGGAGTTCAAGATCCTTAGGGCACTGAGGAGGGTGCACAGCAAGCTCACTGCCCTGGACTTCAGGAGAGCAGACTTTGGCCTCTTCAGGGATCTGCTTAGTAGAGTACCATGGGATAAAGCCCTGGAGGGAAGAGGGGCCCAGGAAAGCTGGTTAGTATTCAAGGATCACCTCCTCGACGCTCAGGAGTGATGCATCCCAACAAAGAGGAAGTCAGACAAAAATTCCAGGAGGCCTGCATGGATGAACAAGGAGCTCCTGAACAAACTCAAACACAGAAAGGAAGCCTACAGAGGGTGGAAGCGAGGACAGGTAGCCTGGGAGGAATACAGAGAAATTGTCCGAGTGGCTAGGGATCAGGTTAGGAAAGCTAAAGCCCTGATAGAATTAAATCTGGCCAGGGACATCAAGGGCAACAAGAAAAACTTCTATAGGTATGTTGGTAATAAAAAGAAGACTAGGGAAAATGTGGTCCCTCTCTGGAAGGACATGGGAGACCTGCTTACCTGGGATATGGAGAAGGCTGAGGTACTCAACGACTTTTTTGCCTTAGTCTTCACCAGCAAGTGCTCGAGCCACACTGCCCAAGTCACAGAAGGCAAAGGTGGGAACTGGGAGAATGAAGAACGGCCCACTGTAAGAGATCAGGTTCAAGACCACCTAAGGAACCTGAAGGTGCACAAGTCCATGGGACCGAACTGGTGGATGAAGTTGCTAAGCCACTATCCATCATATTTAAGAAGTCATGGCAGTCCCGTGAAGTTCCCACTGACTGGAAAAGGGGAAACATGACCCTTGTTTTTAAAAAGGGAAAAAAAGAAGACCCGGGGAACTACAGGACAGTCAGTCTCACCTCTGTGCCTGGCAAGATCATGAAGCAGATCCTCCTGGAAACTATGCTAAGGGACATGGGAAATAAGGAAGTGATTGATGGCAGCCAACACGGCTTCAATAAGGGAAAAGCATGCCTGACAAATTTGGTGGCCTTCTATGATGGGGTTACAGCGTTGGTGGATAAGGGAAGAGCAGCTGACGTCATCTACCTGGACTTGTGCAAAGCATTTGACACTGTCCCGCATGACATCCTCATCTCTAAATTGGAGAGACATGGTTTTCATGGATGGACCACTTGGTAGATAAGGAGTTGGCTGGTTAGTCCCACTCAAAGAATTGGCTCGATGTCCAAATGGAGACCAGTGACAGGTGGCATTCCTCAGGGGTTGGTATTGGGACCAGCACTGTTTAACATCTTTGCTGGTGACACGGAGAGTGGGACTGAGTGCACGCTCAGCAAGTTTGCTGATGATGCCAAGCTGTGTGGTGCAGTCAACATGCTGGAGGGGAGGGGTGCCATCCAGAGGGACCTTGACAGGCTTGAGAGGTGGGCCCATGTGGACCTCATGAGGTTCAACAAGGCCAAGTGCAAGGTCCTGAACATGGGTCAGGGCAATCCCAAGAACAAAAACAGGCAGAGCAGATAATGGATTGAGAGCAGCCCTGAGAAGAAGGACTTGGGGGTATTGGTTGATGAGAAGCTCAACATCAGCCAGCAATCTGTGCTTGCAGCCCAGAAAGCCAACCTGGGCTGCATCAAAAGCAGCATGGTCAGCAGGTTAAGGGAGGTGATTCGCCCTTTTACTCCACTCTGGTGAGACCCCACCTGGAGTACTGTGTCCAGCTCATAAGAAGGACATGGACCTGCTGGAGAGAGTCCAGAGGAGGCCCATGAAGATGATGAGAAGGCTGGAGCACTTCTCCTATGAAGACAGGCTGAGAGAGTTGGGGTTGTTCAGCCTGGAGAAGAGAAGGCTCCAGGGAGACCTTCTAGAAGCCTCTTTCAGTACCTGAAGGGGGCCTACAAGAAAGCTGGAGAGGGACTTTTTACAAGGACATGTAGTGATAGGACAAGGGGTAATGGCTTTAAACTGAAAGAGGGTAGATTTAGATCAGATATAAGGAAGAAATTCTTCACTATGAGCATGGTGAGGCACTGGAACAGGTTGCCCAGAGAAGCTGTAGATGCCCCATCCCTGGAAGTGTTCAAGATCAGGTTGGATGGTGCAACCTGGTCTAGTGGAAGGTGTCCTTGTCCGTGGCAGGGGGGGTTGGAACTAGATGACCTTTAAAGGTCCCTTCCAACCCAAACCATTCTATGATTCTATGAAAAGTGTGAAAAAGGATAAGAATAAGACAAGAATAAGCCCGTTAATATAAAAATAAGCAAAATTAGAAAGAAGCAAAGTATGTTTGCATAGTTAAATTTTATTTGGAGTAATCACAATACTTTGGAATAAATACCAGATCTGCTGATGAATAGCTGGGTGTTATTAGAGGAACTCTGGCACTGGCACTAATTTAATTAATGACTCAGGCTTTAGATGAGTTGCCATACTACTAAGAGGACGAACCCAGAATTGTAAAGGGAAGGGCCAGTATGGCCGTGTGGGTTCAAAATTTTCATCCCTGGGCACCCCACGTGAATTGTAAATCAGGCTTTTGTTAATTCTCCTTAAAAGACAGCTCTTTGCGTAGTGTTCCTCAGGGGTGGCTGAATGTGGGGGAGAAAGGCAGGGGCCTCGCCACTGGGGAAGCTGATCCCCAGCCCTCTGGGGGAGCTCCGGAAGGGCCTGAGTTCGCGGGGAAGTGCGGGCTGCCTGCAGGAGGGGGCTGGCTGCCGAGGGGGAGGTTATTCTGCGGGGGCTGTTTTGGGCATTGAAGGAGTGGAAACAGCCCGCAGAACCAAGGCGGCTGAGGAGAAAATTGAAGCCGCCGAACAGGGAATCCCCAGGAGAAGGAACGGTGCTTGGCGTCAGTCAGAAGAGCAAGCGGGGCCTCATTTGCACGGTCAGCGCTGGAGGGACTTTCGGTCACCGCAACCGCAGCCTACGCTGATTCAGCCAACTTGCAGTAGCAGAGCAGGAACACGCCCCCACCCCCCACCCCCCCAGATCCACTGTACTAAAGGACTGCGGAAACTGGAAATGGCAATTTGACACCGATTTTTAAAAAGGACTCTGGAAAGAGGTCGATATGGCTTTTGTCAAGAGAAATCGTGTCTGCGAGAAATCCGCTGCTGTTCGTCTGAAGCGCCGACATGCGTGCGGATTAGGGTGATTTGGTCGGTACGGTGTGCTCAGATTTTCCAAAAGCTTGTGATAAGCTCCTCAGTCAGAAGATCCTAGAGAAGCAAAACTGCAGCGGGTTGAAAGGAAAGATCCCCCCCTGGAACTGATATGATGGGTAGTACTAGACGGTCAGGTGTTTCTGTGGAAGATAACAAGTGGAATCCCACAGAGATCGGCGCTAAGACCTGTGATGTCTGGCATATGCATAAGTGGTCTGGAAAATGTGCTAAATAGTGACATGCTGGGTGTTTTTTAAAATGAGTTATTCAGGATAGGAAAAATAAAAATCTACTTTTAAAAACGTGGAAGTATCTCACAGTACTGAGTGGCATTGCAGTAAAATGGCAGCCTGTGTTTGGTGCCAATAAGCACAAAATAATGCACATGGGAAAAAATAAACCCGTCTATGAGGCTGAAGATGGGCTTTAAACTACCTCTCGCCACTCAGGGAAGAGAGCTCAGAGTGGCTGTCAGTAATTCTAAGAAATGATGGCTGAGGGCAGAGCAATGCTCAAAAAAGCAAATAGATTGTCAGAAATTGCTAGGGAAGACACAGGAAACAAAATAATCATTTTGCTGTGCATTAACCTCTGGATTACTGCATGCTGTTCTGGTCTCCATGTCTAAGAAAAGGTATGGCAGAGCCTGAGAGGGACAGAGAAACCTGGCAAGTGTTTTCAGAAATAGAGAACAGCTTCTGAATTGAGATTGATTAAACAGACTCGTTAGACAGGAAAAGAGAAGGCAGAAAGGCATTCGATAGCGGTGTGTAAAATCATGAGTGGCATGGAGAAAATAAGTAGCAAATGATTATTTGCGTTTCTCCCAGAAGAAGAACAAGGGGCATCAGGTGGAATTACCGGGTAGCGGCTTCAGCAAACATCAGCAAACGACTTGATCCTTGCAGTATGTGATTAAACTGGAACCAGTCTCACAGTAACTGCTGGGTGCTAGAGGTTAGAAGGGCTCAAAACTGATCGGATGAATTGATGGGGAGTAAAAAAAATCCATGGGGGTCTATTAGGCAGGAAGATGACATTCCTGCCTGAGGAACTGCCTGCATGGCAGGCTGCTGGGTGCGGGGGGCAGAGGGTGGAGAAAATGCCTGCATGGTTACCCCTTTTAAAAGTGTTTCCCTTGGTATCTGCTGCTGGCTCCTGTCAGCGGGGGGATGCTGGACTAAGTGGACCTTGGATCTGACCTGACATAATTCTTCTGCATAATGTTTTTATAATGAAACAGTCTGGGAGAAAGGCTCATAAAATATCCCAGAGTCCCACAGGGTCCTGACGCTAGATCTCTACTTAAAGAATTTAGACCTGGCCTGGATGTCCACTCAGAGCCTTGGAAGAGGAAGTATCCAGAAGGTCGCATTCATCCAGCCACCTGGGGAGGGGATAGCCCTGAGGACTACTGTAGCGAACTAAAGAGACACCCAGGCTTTTGGGTATTGAATTCTGTTCCTTGTGGGATGAGGAAGTAAAATGAATACCGGTGCTGCACCTTGCACGTTATCCTGTGGTGCATCTTGGTGGGATGAAAAGAGTCACTTGGGAAAGGTAAAGCATGTTGAGTAATGCGTGATACATGGCTTGCTTCATCCTGTAATTCAGTGTTTTGTAGTTCTCTGAAGAGTTACTGCTCCACCTTTCGCATTGTACCGTTTATCGTTCTGGTTCCTGAGCTTGTGTATAACACAGATGTGCAGGAGCAAGCCGATATATTGTCATTGGTTAGAGAACACCACTTTAAAACAGTGACAAAACTACTCTATAGCTAAAACTGCCACCACGAGAACTGTATTTTGGTATGAGGATAATGTCGAGCTGGAGTTAAATTGAATGTCTGTTTCTTCAGGGAGGGTAAATTTAATCAGGTGCTCAGAATCAAATTAAGGTGGAAATCAGTTTGGAAAAACAAGAATTACAATCCAGCTAATGACCTGAGGTAATACTGGCAAGAAATTTGCTTTCACATTGTAACATGAAAAATCGTTTCTCTAAGAGGGAACTGCTTGTAGCTTGTGATTGCCCAGGGTAGTTCAGAGCCCGACGTTTCCTTGAGAGAACAATTACAATGCGCTGCCCTTGCACTGTTAACTTCCTCTCCATTATAGTGATACCAACAGTTATTATACTGCAATCAAGCCTGTCAGTGTTTCTATCATAGTGTTATTTTCTAACTTGGCCGTTAAGCTGGAAATATTTTTCCCAGCCCAGCCTGAACCAGCCTCTGCGGCTGGTGGCCCCTGAGTCATCCAGAAGTGTCCTCTCTTCTGCAGAAACACGGGCTCACCTATGACATGAGTCCTTGGAAGAAATGGCCCTAAATCGGGGAACAGAAAATGGATCCTGCGTTTGGCTGCAGAGAGGGATTTGGATTTTAATGTACACATTATTCTGATTCATGTAGGCAAGGAGAGGGGCTTTATTCAGTGTGGCTGGAAGGGGCAAGGTCTTCCCCTGCCGATGTCCTTCCTGTACAAGGGGAAGACTTGGAAGGAGCTGTGGCTCAAAGGTACTGCTGCTGTTCTCACTGCCGAAGGTCTTCCCTTCTGGCATAAGTTTGTCTGTCTTGTTGATGGAGAATTTGGAGATGATGGCCAGAAGCTGCAGCCATGATTCAGTAGGAAGGGGAAAAGTGCTGCTCTGATATTACCTGGAATTGCATTTAACTTAAACCAGCATGGTGCCTTGATCTTCTGTGACCTTTACCCATCAGGAGTTATTAGCTAATTGAATTCAGAAGGTAACTCCCTAACTGTTTTCAAACTAAATTAACTTGCTTCAAGGGACCAACTTATGTTTGTATTTCCACAGAGATAATGAGTTTAGGCTTCAACTGAAACCTTGCCAGATAATGAGGAAAAAATAAATCAATGACCTCACTCTTATCTGGTCTTAACAGGCAGGCTTTCCTTTGCTAAAAGTGACCCTGAAATGGTCTGGATTGATTTGCACAAATACCACTGAGCCCCGTGTCCTGCTAAGCAGAGCTGTCCTGGGGAACGCTTTGCTCCGCGAGGAGATCTAATCTGAACATCAGCAAAGGTGCAAGCATTTGAAATGCAGTTTTTCTTAGAGTCAGACTGAATGCTTCCGAGAAATTAAAATGAGCAGTAAGATAAAGAGTTAAGAAGGAAATTAGCTTCGATACTAATTAGAGGAAAATACCCCCATTCTCACACTTGTGCCCAGGACTCAACAGTCTCCATAGGCATATACTTCTCTGATTCTCCATAGACATATGCTTCTCTGATTATTTAATTAGCTGCTATTGTTAAATAAGAAATGCTTTTCAGATGATAAAGGGAGATCGTTGCCTGGTGAGAACTGGTGTAGCTGTTCTGGTGGAGATCTTTCCTTTGGTGCCTTGATTAATGGAAGAAGTAGACAGCTCAGCAATGTGCCCCTCCAACAGTGTGCACCTCCTTACTCTCTCTATGGATCTCTCAAATGAAGGCTTCAATCTTTAGGTAATAAATGTGATTAATAATAATTTAACAGAATATATGAGGCAATCTATTCAAGCATGCAGAGGTAAGAGGCAGGGGTTTTTAACTGCTGGTAAAGAATCCGTAAAACCTACTCTTAAAGCTCAAATAAGAAGATTGGAATTTTATAGTAGCAATAGCAATAGTACTCGCAGCAGCCATTTTGGTCTAATAAGAGATGTGACATTTTAGGGAGACATGGCATCTTCTACTAAATCAGTTGATACAGGTTTTATAGTAGCACTGCTTCTTTTAATGTTGAACTTCATAAGAAAAAGTGCCCCTAGGCAAAACTCATGCCTTTCTGCCAGAAGCCAGGTAAATACTGATATTCTATCCAGAGAGAGACTTTTTCAGTGCTTTCACGTGGCTGACTAATAGAATTGGAACTGCTTCAAGAAGGGGGTATCTGTATCCAAGTGTAGCCAGTTTGCAGACGCTACAAAATTGGGAGCAGCAGTTGATAAATCAGATGGTTGCAGTGCCATTTAGAGGGACTTCCACAGGCTGGAGAAATGAGCTGACAGGAATGTCATGAAGTTCAGCAAAAGGAAAGGCCAAGTCCTGCCCCCAGGGAGGAATAACCTCAGGCACCAGTACACACTGGTTGGAGAGTTTTGCAGTAAAGGACCTAGGGGTCCTGCTGGACACCAAGTTGAATGCGAGCCAGCAATGTGCCCTCGCAGCAAAGGTGGCCAGTGGTGTCCTGGGCTGCATTAGACAAAGTATTGCCAGCAAGTTGAGGGAGGTGATCCTTCCCCTCTACTCAGCCCTGGTGAGACACATCTGGAGTACTGGGTCCAGCTCTGGGTTCCTCAGTACAAGAGTGACATGGACAGACTGGAGAGAGTCCGGTGAAGGGCCGTGAAGATGATTAAGGGGCTGGAGCATCTGGCATATGAAGAGAAGCCGAAAGAGCTGGGTATGATCAACCTGGATAAGAGAAGGCGCTGGGTGCACCTCATCAATGTGTCTAAAAACCTGATGGGGGCATAAAAAAGATGGAGCCAGACTCTTTGCATTGGTGGCCAGTGACAGGATGAGAGGGACAAACTGAAATACAGGAAATTCCAGTTAAACATAAGAATAATTTTTATTTATTTTACTGTGAGGGTGATCCAACACTGGCATGGGTTTCCCAGAGAGGTTGTGGAGTCTCTGTCCTTGGAGATATTCAAAACCTGACTGGACACAGCCCTCAGTGACTGCCTCTTGCTGACCCTGCTCTGAGCACAGGGTTGGACTGGATGATCTGCCTTCCAACCTCAACCAATCTAGAATTTTGTGAATCTGGAATACTTTTTTACTCAGTGGTTAGGACCTTCTCATAGGAACAGGAGCAGAGAACAGAGCCCAGGTGTCCTGTAGGGGTAGCTGAAGAAGACTCTGGAAAGGGTTTCTCTCTGCTGAATCAAACTGGGCTCCTCAAGATCCTTAGTTTTTTGCTCTTTTCCTGAAAAACAAGAGTCCCATGCAGCTTTCAGCAACTTTCTTCTTGGGGACTGGTCATGATTCCAGATTTATCAACTTGCCACCCATGCAAACTGTGAAAGATTGGCCTTTGGCCAGAAGTGACTCGCACTCAGAGCAGTCTTCATTTGTGACAGAGTTTTGTAAATACTAGTGCTGGCTTTCCATATCTTTTAAGATCATAGAATCATTTAAGTTGGCAAAGACCTTTAAGATCATTGAGTCCAACTGTAAACCTAACACTGACAAGTCCACCACTAAACCATGTCCCTAAGCACCACATCTACACATCTTTTAAATACCTCCAGGGGTGGGGACTCAACCACTTCCCCGGCAGCCCATTCCAGTGCCTGACAACCCCTTAGGAGAAGAAATTTTTCGTAACATCCAATCTAAACCTCCCCTGGCGCAACTTGAGGCCATTTCCCCTCATCCTATCGCTTGTTACCTGGGAGAAGAGACAAACACCCACCTCACTACATCTTCCTGTCAGGCAGTTGTAGAGAGTGATAAGGTCTCCCCTCAGCCTCCTCTTCTCCAGGCTAAACACAACCAGTTCCCTCAGCTGCTCCTCATAAGACTTGTGCTCTAGAGGTCACAAGGGGGGCAGCAAAACCTTTCCAGACTCTCTTAATCAGTGCTCACTAGGAAAATTCCATCTTGGCTTAGGTGAAATGCAGTGACTGTCTCTTGGTGGTACATCACCTGACTGTCACTGCCCACTTGGTGTGGGGGGAAGAAGCTGAGGATCTGAAGCAGGATGGTGGCTTCCCACTGGAGTGCTTACGCGATCGTCCTTCACCCTGGGCGTACTCAGCTCCTGTTGTGCCCCTAACCCCTGCGGGCTGATTTATCCTCAGGTGGCCCTGGTAGCACCGCCTAGCAAATGGCAGAAGCAGTGAGGCATGCGAACGGACAAATGTTGAGGTTTGTAAATCCTGGTGGGAGCCCAGGTTTGGGGTAGTCCCCATCTGCTCAGCACTGTGTGGGCATGCTCAAGGACTGAACTTTAACCATCAGAGGAGCTTTAAGGCTGAAAATGCAGGTGCGTTTTTGAGGCTCTCAGTATTGGACTGAAGTGCCTACAGGGGTCAGTAGATAGGTAATTTCTATCTAATCCCATCACAGATAGGTTGTGGTTTTTCTCTCCCTGCGCCCCTCACTCCCCCCAAGTGAAATATCTGCTTGTTCAGTTCGGCAAGCGTGAAATGCCCGAGCCACATTTGCCACAGGCAGGGAGCTGGTTCAGTAGTGTGAGCACCGCGTTTCGGCTCACCTGGCTCAGGTGCAGCGCTGCGCTGCTGTGGCTGGGGTGGTGGTTGAGGGGTCGTGCTGGCTTGCATGCGCCGACTCAGCAGTTTGGGCACTGTGCTCTGGAGCACCAGCAGCATGGCCAAAGGGATAAACAGAGCGATTAGGGAGGTGGTTTGATCCAAGCATGAAATTAATTCATTCTAACAACAACATGGGATAAAGTAAAATGGACAGAACACTCCCATAAAATAAATCATATACGGAAACTGAGTATCATGACTCTAAGACAGAAGCTGAAAACGTTCTATGTAATGCATTTAATTTTCCAAGTGTTTGCAGTGGAAATTTTTCTTTTGAGGTGGACACATTTTTTAAAATCTTGTGATTAAAGAAATTAAATTTTTATCTGCCCTACTTAAAATCTTTTTATCTTTTAATATTTTGTTTCTGTAGAAATTAAGATTGAAAGAAATGTATGATAAAAAAAGTAGATGTTTGAAAAGCTGCTTTGGGTCATTTTCTTTGAGTGGTTGTCATAGTTGCTAAGTGATAACTTGAAGACCTTTATATAGTCAGAGTGCTGTAGGAGTGGGAGAACTGAGGCTTGAACTTTAGGGCAATTGTAGGAGATTTTCTGCCAAGAAAAGTGAAGGCCTGAGTCCCTGCACCTGAGGATCCTGTCAGAGATCACACAGAACACAACATGGTAACATATACAAAAAAATAAAATTGAAACCATATTCACAGTGAAGAAGTTCATGAGAAATTGGCTGCTATCTGATTCTAAATTTGATTAAATAGATAATTTTATCAGAGTCAAAGCTGATCTATTCAGCTGGATAACATCTCCACACAGAAGCAGAATATCTGTCTCATACACGAACCACAACCACAACTCTGATTACAAAGCTTTCATCTTAGTTTAAGTTGTTTTGTGGTAACCAAACATTTCCTTTCCTTTCCTGTAAGCTCTTGCCCTGCCTGTGTAACATAGTCCACTCAACAACCAGGGCTCCATCAATTTTATCAATGGTCATCAACTATCAGCAAGTTACAGATAGCAATTCCCTAGCCTCAGGACAGTTAAAAATACCCGAGCAATTTTGTGTGTTAGGTGAGGCGTGCTTCCTTCCCGCATGAAGCTTTATATGAGTTCACAGATGTGCACACGTAGACCCCAAACACAAACATATCTGGTCCCCTTCTCGTTTCAGGTCCTGAAACTGCAAAAGATTGAATTATCCCAAATGGTAAGACCAAATGTCAAAACATCTGAGAAAGGAAAGCCTGTGACCCTGGGCTTTGTGTCTGGCTCCTCTGCAGCCTGCTAAGGTGTGAGTGCTCGGTGAAGCTTTTCCCCCACTTGAGATATTCATAACCGCTTGCTTTCTCTCTCTCTCGCCTGCAATCTGGTTTCTAAAGAGGTGGGAGTTTGTTCAACAGCCTTTCCCTCACAGGCAGCATTAATGAGGTCTTTCTCCTCCGCCCACACCCTATTTTCCGGAAACGTGTAGGAACTTAATGGCTTTGAGAATTCTTCTTTCTTATCTTATTACATCAAAATTGGTCAACGGGCTCACAAAAGTTTAGGAAAGAGGCACACAAACAAAAGACAGGCATGGATGCAGACACCAAGATCCTTGTTTCCTTAAGAAATGTTAGCATTTTAGCTTTCACTCTTAAAATGAGAACCAAAGCTGACCGAAGGAACATCTGGAAAGAAAGAGCGCTTTTCAGCTCACATGGTTCTTCAGACCTGGGGACCTTCAGGACAGGTCTGTGGCTGAACAAGTCTGGCTGCTGGTGTCAAAGTCTCCTCTCCCACACTTGGTTGGTCCTGGCAAGTCTGAACATCACCCTGTCCCTGCTGACCCATGGCAGGGCTTCACAGCTTTCCTCTCACATTTGTATTCTTTGCTGAATCTCCCTTGCTCTGCGTTTCCTGGTGGTCTTGGGTTTAATGTCTGCCAGGGTATCCACCCTGAACTGAAGGAGGACATCATTAGAATGTGTCAGTGTGGAAAAATTTAGTCCTTCAACAAAATAGTCAGAGTTTTGGTTTCCTCAGCAGCTTGCTTGCAACGATCCTTCTTTCTCCTCCTTCCCACTCCCAAGTGTCAAAAGCTGGAATAGGTGAAACCACTTGTGAAAGAGCTGGTATCCAAACAGTCAGGTGAAAAAGACTTCCATAATTGCTGCTGGTATCAAGCTTCTTCCCGTGGAGGCTTTAGGCTGGGCCATCCTTTATTCTCTTCCAGCTCCTAGATTTCTAAGTGCAGGTGTTCTGCACTGGGAATAACTCACCGCTCACAGTCACACACCAGAGCTATAATCACTTACCGCTTGCCTAGAGAGGTTCTGGGTACTCTTTCAGCCACAGCAGTGTCTTATTGCTGATGCCTGATGATTCTTTTGCAGGTACCTCCAACACTGTCCCCGAAAATACTTGCTGGCAAACCTTGGCTCCCCCTTCTCCTTGCCCTGGAGCCTTGCCCAGCTGCTGGGGCTGGCAGGAGGAAGAAGCCCAGTATGGCTCCCAGCAAACCACTGGCCAAAGCGGCAGCCCCAAAGTCAGAGCAGTCTTGTGTCCCAACAGGGGTTCTCCTTTTATATAACTGCACACTTAAAAAACCAGTAGCGTGAAATTTTATCAGAGGGTATAGAGGGATGTACGTTCTGGAAGCAGCTGTGCTCATGCAGGTTGTTACTGTGGTGTGGGGAGTCTCAGAACTTGGGCTCCAAGGTTTCATTTTGCTTAAAAATAATTGAAGTGGAATGAAATAGTAGTGCTTAAAATATTTGCTCCAGACTTTTTCCTTTTTGTGGAGGAAATGACAAAGTACATTTTAAATTCTAAAACAGAAAGGATATTTCTTTCCAGAATTGCCTGAAGATGTGATTTTGGACCCATTTGGTCCCAAAGTCAAGATTTCTTGTCTGGTAATTCCTACCAGCTCCTTGTGCTAGCTAAAGCAGGGACTTTGCTAAGCTTGAAGGCAGCAGGTGATTACAGATGCTGTAATATTTAACTTCCAGTGATACCGCCGAAAGAAAAGCAGAGATAGTCTTACAGGTTGTTAGACTTTAGGTGGTTTAGTGTACCATCAAAATGACATCGCAGCAGCTACCTACAAAGTACTGAAGATGGAAAACACCAATTTAATGTGGAGTCATTACTCATAATTATGTTGAAATTCTGCTTTAATAATGTTGTCCATATTTGCAATACTGCAAACGTGAAAATGAATTTGGCTGAAAGAGTGCCAGTGTGAAGCAGCATATAATTTTGTTTTTGTTTGTGCTGTACTCCGCATAATTACTGTAATTATGCATATTAGGCTGTTCTGTGTAATGGCACCAGAAGGTAGATAATTTTGTCAATAACTGGCTGTAGCAGCTTATATACATTTTACACCATCCACAGAAGTGCTTTGAAGATCATTTAATACTGCTGATTTGCCCACAATAGGTCAGAAATTATTGCTGCTGTTTCCAGAATGTCTATCTGGAAGAGATGTCTTCCAGAAAAAATCGGTGCTACTAAAAAAAGCAGAACTTTGTGTCTGAGAAAACAGAGCAAAAAAACCTGAGCACATTTTCAGAGAGGCTAAAATCTTTAATTAGCTGATAGGGCTACTATCAGTATAATATGACAAGGAGCTGCAGCAGCTTTGTAATCCTTAGAGGTGTATTTCAGTTCAGATTATACTTCGCACAAGAAATTGCAAATGCGCTTAATGCCATTTACTTCTTTTTCAATGGAACAAGTTTAGATCAAGATACTTTAATGAACTGACATGAAAACTTAATTCCAAAATGAGACTGAGCAGAAGCACATTGATAATAGAGAAGACAAATGGGGGAGGGAATGCAGGTGGGAAACCTGGAGTGAGGCGGGGTGAGGTAGGCATGGGGTGAGATGCTACCTGGGTAAACTCGGAGGTTCAAAGGGAAGGCAGTATTTAGGAGATGGTTCCTTCAAATGTTCAGGAAAAATACTCAAAAGCTGCCTTTTCTGATGTATGAGATAACTGTTAGTAGTGGTAAGTGGTGTTATGTCAACTGGAGCCCTCGGCCATTTTCTGAGCATATTTTGTGCACAGCAACGGGGGCCGTGGCCAGCTTTCCTGCAGCTCTGGCTCCGTCTGGCCACCCAGTTGCAATGGGTGAGCCTTTCTCAGCACCAAAAAACCTGACAAGGTGGGTCCTGGGGAGCCAGCCCTCTCCCTCTATTTGAGGCGGGGGGGTTCTGGGTGATGGTCCACAGACGCTGTGATCTGGGGGAGCCTGGTGCATGGATCCGTACGCTGGCCCCATGCTCTCCATGAGCAGTGACCTGCTGGCAACAGCCATTTTCAGAGCTGTGTTGCTATCCCTCGGCATGATGGAAATTGCACAACGCTTTTTTTTTCTGCTGAAAGAAACATGGGTGGATGGGTAGTGACTCATTTGTCAGAAAAGTTTGGAAACTAGTCACTGAAAGCAGACGTGGAGTTGTCTGGGGAGACGAGCAGGGCACAGGCTATAAAGCTGTCGTGATTCGCCTCTGTATGTTATGCTCCACGTACTCGTCAAATTAGGACTCACTTCTGTGGGAAGGGATGCCTGAGTGACACTGCTGGGTAGATGCATTAAAAATGCCCTCAGCCCTGGCGAAGCTGGAATGCTGCTGCTAGATAAGAGCAGTTTCTCCGAGGTGATCCGCTCCTGCTTTATGTCTCCTCGGGTCGAACAGATTCACTCTGAAGTACAAGCTGCATGAAAAATTTCAATGTCATTTTTAGCTCTGCTTCAACAGGCATCGTTTGGCAGGACTGATTTAAGATACGCGATGTGTGTGGGATACACTGTTATTTATTGTGTATTGATCTGGCGGTAATAACCCATGCTTTCCTGAGGTGTAACGCTAGCAACTCCCTTCTTGTTTGGTAAAACTGACCTGACACTTGCAATTCACTCCAAATGCGGCAGCGCACCTTATCATGGATTTGAGCGAGCACGTTCATCCTGCTCTGCTTTCTTTTTTTTTTTTGCCCAAATCAGAGCAGTTATAAATATACACAGCTCCGACGGGGACTAGCACTGGTTGTGTACAAGATCCTCTCCTTGGACTCTGTTTGATGGGACTCTGCACTCA